AAGGTTGGAAAATCAGTTTAAAAAATGATGCAGAAGAAGTGTAACTGCAGGAGTCGCTTGGAAATATTTATTGGCAATGAATAAGGAGAGGTGGCAGGAAATTGTTTTGTCCGAATGGTCTTAAAGGCTAAATACTACGACAATGAAAAAAAAACATATTAGCATATTAAGTAATAATTATATAGATATCGAAATCGTGATGGCATAAAAAGCTTCTAAGTACAGTTACCTAATGGTTTTGAAAGATATATTATTATTGTTTTAATTTAAAAATAACTATTATAATATCATATCATTAAATAGCACTTATTAAAAAAAAAACATTGATAATTCAAGGCATACATAAATATGTATACTCGATATATACTATATACATTACGTGTGTATATGTTATTTAAATATAAATGGGTTTAAAGGGATTCATACAAAAAATGTTATCACAAAATAAAAAGTTTTATCTAACAGGATCGACCAACAAAACAAAATATATATGAATTGTAGTTTTAAATTGCAAAACCAGCAGATACTTTTGCTAGATTAAGTCGTTGACGTTTTTAAGTGTAAACAAACCGCTTGCAGACGAAAACAAACTTGATGTAATTCAATTCCGAGTACTTATCATGTGTAACGCGTTCCAAATAAGAACGAGTTGAATGTTTTTTTATTTAATTTAATTAAGAGTTCTCTGCGGTTACCACAGACATTATAGACTGCGTGCATGAGGACACTCAGCGCAAGCTAGTAGTCATATATTAAAAACGCGTTAGCTACAGAAAATGGTTTTGTTTTAGATTTTCAAGTACCAAATTGTTAGTATGTGGGTAAAGTACAGCGAGTCATCACTAATGCGTTTTATTATTTATGATGGTTTCATAAAACTGTAAAAAATGAAATAATTTCAAAATTGTACGCATCAATTAAAAAACTAGTTGAATTAACATAATAACATATTATTTAAATAGCGTTTTAATTAAACGGTGTAATTAATGTGGGGTAGCATTTTAACAAGAGTATGCATTAGCAATTTTATTTAATCGTTCAACAATACTTTACATATTAAAATGCATTTACGTTTCAGCATTGTTTTTTAAAAATGATTTGAATTATACGGTATACAGGAAAATTGCTAACACAAATTAAATAAATGAACACACTCATGTAACAGTTTTCCTACTGAAAAAAGTATATTATGTTGCGTAAACATTAAGTCTGAAAAATTACATTCATTCTGAGAAAACTCGGATGGAATCCGAATTTATTTTTATATTTTTTGTTATTAGTTACTTCATTGAAAGTCTATAAACGTATCACATCGTGTCTAATAAGACATCTTTACAAGCCTATGTATAAAATGAAAAATTCATATGATTTATTTCGTAACGACGGCCACTTTGCCTAGCTTAGCCTGCTAGTCGAGTAGGTACGTTACAACGTCAACAAAATAATTCATAATTTATAATACAGGGTAATCCGGTGATGGGGTCGACATGACTCAGCCAATATCTTAAAAGACATTAGACTTTTTGAACATTTCTTTTTTTCTTACTGATATAGTTAATAGTTATCCCAAATTTTGCATACTTATCAATTATGTACGCCCAACCTTTATGTATTTAAATCCTATGAGCTTAAGATTTTTAAATGTATAAATTGTTATCATTGATTATAAATAATATAGATAGCACACTGGCATGTATTTTTTGTTGCACGTAAATTGTTGCCGTCGTAGAGCGCTTTATACTGTTTTTAATTACGGCGGTAGATACCATGAGCCCTGACGATCGACGCGCAGGCGCAATACTGCCAGGAAGGAATGCCATTGGGCTATCTATATTATTTATAATTAATAAAAATTATCTAGATTTTTTAAATTCAGAAAAATTTGCTGAAAATTTTGATTAGCATGTAACCTGTTTTGAATAATTACTTTTAAACTTAATGACTTTATAAGTATTCTAAACTGGGTATTATATTATTTATTAAAAAGTGAATAAATAATATATACATTACCATTTAAATATCTAAAATTCACTGAATTTTAACACATAATGAATGGGGCTATATTTTTGAAAAATACATCAAAATTGGGTGAACTAGAAAACTACTTACATAAAAAAGAAATATTTTTGCAAATCAAAAATTGTTCTAACTTATTGACTGGGTCATAATTATTATCAATTATCCTGTAGGTATAACCTTACCTCGGATGATACTCGAGGCTCGAGTTTAATATTCAAAAGTGATTTGAAACGCACAAAATAATAAAAAAAAAATGTTTTCAGTTTCACCATACAAAGCTCAAAGTAATAAAAGTACGAAGAACTTCGTAATAAAAGAAATAATTTATTCGAAGCATTAAAAAAATATTTTTTTCGCCTCTGTATCAAACAAGGTATAATTAACGATTGGAAAAAAAGACGTTACGATTTCACGAGTATAAAAATAAAATTGCTATTTATTTATTTATTTATTGAATTAACGCCTGGAAGGCTCAAGTACAGGTACATAATTAGCAAATTACATTAGTATGATCAAATGTGTGAGATATAAAAATATAAGTAATGAACAATACAATAATACTATAGTGTTACAAATTGAAAATCAAATTTTTATTTACAATCAAAAATTGGAATAATTATGCTTCAGGTCTGGTAGACTATTAGAGAAAAAATCCAAGTTAGATAAGTTGCCTTCGGCACAGATCCGATTTAAAGGGTTGTGTTGACCGTAATTTGTGCGGTAGGGTTTTATATGAAATGTTGGACAAGATCTGGAAAAATACTGAGGTACGTGGAAGGAAATCTGTTCTAACAGTGGGGGACATGAAATGATTCCGTTTAATAATTTGTGTAAGAAAGAGATATCAGCTATTTTGCGACGGGTTGAAAGATAATCAAGTTTAAGATCAGTCTGGATACTGTCTATGGAAGGAAGGATTAACGAGGGTATTAGTTATGTTTATTTTGTATCCCATGTAGCGAATGAATCTTTTTTGTATTCTTTTAACTCTCTCGTTACTATTGATAGATATCCTCATTACAGTTTATTACAGTCTTGTACAGTCTCATTACAGTCCTACAAAATCGTATAATTTTAGCTAGCCACTTCAGTTCAAAACTTGATGATTAGGTTCTCGTGCTAACCGACTGCAATGAACAAAAAAGTCCTAACTCTCAGTCATCGGTCTGGAAAGTAAGATGACAGTATTGTCAACGAGTCGATCAGGCTGTGTGTTTGAAATGGAAATAAGACAATGTAAAACGTGACAGATTTGATCGAGTTCTGAATATTATAGTTGGCGTTGCTGTAAATATTTGTATCAATCCAAACTTTCTGTATTGTGTCTACAATGGTGCATACATTATTCATTCAATAACCGTTTTAGTAGCTACGTATTGTTTTGTATCTGGTGTTGTGAACTTTCAACGAAACAATACTGAATTTTCCTTTCGACTTTTAGTTGTGGAAAAGTGTATTGCAATTTATTGATGCATAATTAAAATATATACCAGCTCAATCATGGACTTGTTGAATAAGGAGATACTTTCAGTTATTAGGCATCAATCAAAACTAATCTTTCGCAGCTATTCTGTTATCATTAAAAGTTACCCAAAGATTAACATCGAATATTGTAACAATTCCTCTGTCCTCATTATGGACCTAGGTATATATGTAGTATATACGACTATGAGTATGTAAGTTGTATAAATTAACTTTTTCACAAATTTGTGAACATATCAAAAACATACTGAAAAGTTGTATAGTGATTAATCAAGTTCAAAATTGAATACTACCTATGCAGGCATTGTCACTACCAGTTGGACGAATAAAACGTACAGACGTAATAATCACATCGAAGCTAATAATATGAATTATGAATTATACACAACACGTTGAAGAAATCAATAAACTTTGTTTATCACGACTATTAACAAAAATAACAAGACGAGTTGTCTGTTACAAAGAGACCCACTTCGATTAGGTATAGCGAATAATATTCTATAAAACGTAATTTAGTTCTTGTTCTAAAATCGTGTTGTACATCTGTTGTAATTTAAAATCAATGTGAAGTATGTTAGAATAGCTAGACTCCTTTTTTAAACCTGATTTTAAAATACTATACGGTTTTCTAAAAAAAAAACAATCGATTTACAAATAAGTAATTATAATACTTGTGTTTTGAAGATCAAAGATATGTTTACCGACATATTTATCGAATTGGATAATTTCTATATTACACCGTCAGTTTATAATATCTGTGTAATATTTTAATATTCTATAAACGCCAGAATAACATGCACAAATTCTGTTTCATGAACAACGTTTTAACAGGTCTTCTTTAGGTCAATGAGAGTTGAGTCCATTTCGATATTGAGCAATATACTATTAAATATTTATAAGTATACATCTACATCCAACAAAATATGTGAATTCTTTAAAAGAAGATTATTCCCCAAGCAGCTTATGGAAAAGAAAGGGAAATTTGTAATTAAATAACTTATACTTTCCACCACACTCCAACCGTTTTTATAATGCAATCTTAGTTGTCAGTGTTCGATTACTAATAGCTATTTTCATTTCGAGTGCGGCAATATATTAGGCGTCATTATTCAGTATATTTAGTTTAAAAATTATGTACTTTTAAATAGCCTAGACAACAGACGGTCATGCACCATGACAAAAAACTATTCAAAATGTTTTTATAATTTATTCTTAAGTTCTAGCGTTTCAAAAATTTAACTTAATTTCAGGGTTCCTATAGATTTTTGAAAAATTCTATATGTCGTAGAGTCACACTAGATCCATCTTCAGTCTAAATTTCAAACCTTAAATTCCAAAACTAAACAAAAAAAAAGTGAAATAAAAAAAAATGATTCTGGAGGAAAGAATTTTTGATATTTTTTTTAATATTAAATAATAGATAGTATATACAGAGATAACTTAAATGGTACAATTTACAAAAAATAAGCTTATAATACTGGATAAAGTCTACAAGATAGTAAATACTGAGCTGTTTAATACAATATATAAATTCATTGTGTTTGTTTTGTTTTATTAATTAATAAATATATAAATAAAAACCTGTAATTAAAAAATCGTAATTTAATTATTTTATTAAAATTCTAATAATTTAAGTATTCTGTGTAGTAATTGGGTTGTTGTATGTAACGACGATAGTTAACGTCATAAGCAGCACCAGCGTCTGCGTCGTAGTATTCTTGATAAACCGGAGCGCCAGCCGTCAAGTCTTCTTGAACGCTTTTTGGAAACGCTGCACATAAAATATTAAATTAGTATAAATTACAACTGTATTTACCTTATCTGTATATATTAATGCTCAAGACTTATGTATTTATTTAGTTCAAACAATTTTTACGGGTAAAGGCTTGGCAATTTACATGGTAACTATTGCACTGTGTACAATTTAGTTGTAAAATACGCGTAAGAGCTAAAGTGTATTATTATTGTGAGCTTTTAAAGTATTTTATTATTTTATATCTAAACTATTTATTATTACAAGTGTTGGTCAAATATTTTCAAGAGTCATAAGTACACTTTTATAAGTAGGGAGGTCTGTCGGAAATTTGCGTAACGCTCATAATTCCTGGATAACTAAAAAGATACAGTTATTAAAAGAATCAGGGCTTCATTTAAATTAAACCTTTATTTACTTTCAGTATCGTATGTTCTTAATTAAGATATCCTGTATATTATATTAGTTATGTAGTATAGTTAAGTACATTTAAAGTTATTTTTGTGTTATATGACCTAACCTTCCCTTACCTATAAGCAATAAAGTTAACCTACTTAAATTATTTTTAAAAAATAATTTCGTGTAGTAGGTATTGATTTACCGTTTACAACGAAAAATTATTAGTTTCCTTTTATTTTTGTAATAACCTATATTAATAGTTGTAAGTTATAACCCTATACATAATGAATATTTTTTAAGATATTCATATCTATGTATTATCTATAAAAAATTCACAAAGGAAAACTATAATATTGTCAACACATTGAAAAAAACCTATTTAAAATATTGAATTTTTACTTTAGAGCCTTTTCATATATTAAACCAGACCCGCGTTTATATGTAACTTAATTGTATGCAATAATAATAGTATTATAAACATTCATGCTATTATAATATTATCTGACATACGTTTGTCCGGTAGTGACGTCTGAAGTTTTAATTTAATAAACCTGTTCTAGCCATTGTAATGTGTTTACTTTAAGGTACGACTTGCGAAATGTGTTTTTGCAAAATGCTAATGTACAAAAACCCGAATTCATAATAGAACGGGAGATCAAATGTATTTGCTCGTACACCAAGGTGAAATGTTGAGCAATAATTATTCATAATATTAATGAATTTCAATAAACACAATATTATGTGGCAGGGATCTTGGTACCTTTGAGATATTTGTCCGTATGCGTTTATATATATATAAAAAAAAAGCCTAATATCAAAACAAAAGAATCTTAATATATGTGTTTACAATTTTTAGCTCAACGTTAATTTTAGTGAAGAGTTGCCTATACAATGCGCCTTAATAAATGGTAGAGTCCACTTAAATCATTGTAGGTTTAACCGGCTCACGGTGTAGTTAAATAAACATGCATTGGTGCAATAGGTGCGTTTCAGTAAACAATCCTGTATGAATTTCCGTAACGGCACTAACTCATAATTGTAATAGAAGTAGAAAAATATATTATGTCAACGTAGCCTACAAGCTACACAACGAAATGTACCTACTAGGTACTAGCAAACACTTGGAATACATTGTATTGTATAACCCACATGGCAATAATATATTTTAAAAATATGTTATTTATTAAATAAAATGTAATAAATATATTATTGAACAATAATTATAATATTATACACTGTCAAATGATATTTCGAATGATATTTCCGTCCAATACTATCCATTTTTGAAATTATATGGCAACGTATAATTTACGCAATTAACTTTTTTAATTAAGGGGATTGCATACGGTTGGTTTTTAAGGAGTTTTGTATAGGCAATATTTAAGAATAAAGTCGTTTCAATACATTTCGACCATGTTAATTCATTTACCGGTTAATTTGTATAAGCTTCATGGTATTATTTTTAATTTAAACAGTTTTATCTATAAGTAAAAGCCTAATCATGGCCAGTACACGAAAGTATACTGTTGTCTAAACAGACTTCAGAGATCCTACTGCTATACAAGTATATTAAGTTGGCTTTGAAGAGCTTATCATAACTTGGTGATAATATGATATGATTTATTAATGGAAACTGATTCGTGTAACATAACATTTGTTTATAAACATAAATATTTATTTTTGTAATGTTGTTTGAGTTAAAAATTATTAAATGTACGATATTAATTGATAAATTGTAGATTGTAATTTGATGGTAATGAAAATAGTGTAGCAATTGCAAGACGTAGTATTTCTAAAATTATTTTTGCTATGTGGGATATAATCAAAGTAAAAGTATGGCATATATGTTAAAAAAAAATATTTGCGAGATCAATAGTCTGACGTTTTTATACACAAGACTGTATTTTTTTTTTTTTTATAAAACTTATTAGAAACTATAACGTCTGAAAATAATAATACATCATTTATGAATAAAACATAGATTTGTTCATAATTCATATTATATTGTTAGTTTTGTTATTTTTTATAAAAAATATGTTCGGCCGCAGTACTATCATAATATATTGACAGTAATAAATCAATAACAAAAAGAGTGGGAAATAATTTTCGACGGGCCAGTGCCTAATATCTCGCTATAGGTACACGATCTCAGTATAATAAAATAAATTATCGGTTTGGAAACATATTATCGTAAAGCCTCTTCGCTGAACCGTAAAAATGCTGTTAAACATCAAACAATAATATCGAGTCCTATTATAAACGATGCGAAATATTATTCCGGTTTAGTGGCCCGTACTTTATATTGACTGTGACGTTGTCTTGCCATTAAGTATATTTTGGATTCGCGCACGTCACACGCTCCCTGAGGTTTCCGTCAGACGAATTAAAGTACAGAGCGACAGCGTTTGTTCGTTGAAAAAAATTAACAATGACAAGACCTACTATCATGACCGTCTGTTGGGATCTGAGCAGAAGAATGGCATTACATAACATATAATTATTAAAAATAGTCCATTCGTTATTCGGCGAGATGGCCACACGTAACCCACGATCCCTGGGGAACATATAGCCCGTGTTACATGGACTACTATGCATGTGTACATCTAAAACCCCTCGACTTGACACACATATTATGTAATACGCTCTGTATATTTTAAAGTCGGTTCAACGAAAAATAACGAGGAGTTGGTTATGGCATATTAGCTGTAACGTTACGCGAGCTTCGTGTTGAAAAAACACTTGGAATTAGGTCGACTTCTTGAATATTTTAATGGAAACCGCCAAACTGTTCGACCGCCATTACGTCGTGGCCCAAGTATCGATGACCCTTTTTTTATTTCTAATCGTCTCGAAGTTCGTTCAGGATTTATTTTATTTTCATTTTTTAGGCCTGTAATTACTGAAATGGTCGATAATTGCGAAATCATTGTAAACAAAGGTGGCTTTGACATTTCTCTTAGCTACACATTTAAAGTATTCGTTAAAATTCTAATATTAGAATAAAACAATTTTTTTTAAATAACCAAAAAACGACTAAAGGTTAAAAAAGTAAGGATGTAATTATAGTCGATAACAGTTATTAAGAATCAATTCATATACGGTCAGTGCGATCCATAGGCAATAAATACATGAAAAATGCCTAGTGATACTTAAGAATGTTCTCTATTAAACAGAATTTGAAGACTAGTTTTAGACTATACATAAAGTTCTTATAACCCTTAAATTGATCGAGTTGGAGTTTAGAATAGACCAAGAACTCCTGCTTATCGTAAATCGAGATAAAATGAGAGAAGTGGAAAAAATAATTTTTATTTACTGTCAACTATAAATACATATTGGCGATTTCTGCAACAGAACTAACGGCGATGGAAGAAATTAATGACGGCAACTTGTAAATTTCTCAAAGACCGGTTCATCAACTGGGATGCAGGCAGCAAGAGGAAACTACTGCATTGTTTTTCCAGGGAATAATGATAAAATAAATAGAGAAACGAATCTCATATTTGGCTTTTCTATTGCAAAGAAAAGTTTTCGAATTTTTTAAAAAATTCAATTACCCTTATCTGATAGAATAAACCATGACCGACTATGATTGACAAATTGCACTATGACATGCGCACTATAATTGTGTTACTTGTAAATTCTATGGAAGCGTATGTTTTGATAACCTACTATCACATAGTTAGGCAAATATCTAGCACATACTAGAGAAATTGTGTTTTACGATGTATATGATACTAAACTTTGTTGACCAAATGTGAAAATAAAACTATTGGAAAATAATTATGATAACGAAAAAATAAATCTAAAAGACTAACACCGTAAAGAAATTAAGTAGTTACAGGATTAGGTACGTGGATTTCAAATCATATCTATCATGAAAAGCGTTACATATTTTTTTTTTTTTTTGTGATGCAACTTGTAAAATAGAAACACATTGAAATGTGACAACCACATAGCAACAACAAAAGTATTTTACGTTTGGCAAAATGTTTCGTTGAAATTATAATTAGATGCAATGTAATAAAAGCCGGTAGTTTCTCTGAAAGGCCAAAGAAAACCCGCATACTTATTATTTGTGGTGGTTTATAATGTAAACTCGACAATATACCTGCCCGAGTTGAAGATATTCTAAAGAGTAATTGAACATACACCACGATAACTTTATAACGATTCCGCAGTCAGACTACTCCGGTGTGTATTATGTAAAAATAAATAATAAAAAACGTGCGCTTACTACTCGTGTAATCTATTGTCAACCGACGGATTTGTTTGCAAGTTAAACATTATATAAGAACTGATTCGAGCAGTAATATTTTTAAGAGTATGTATAGAAAACACGGTTGTTGAGCACCTCCCAAGTACCACCGTCCACTTATAATTTAAGAAGTTGACAGAATGGACAATCTTGCTCCAAAATTCCAAAAAAAAAATAACCTATCTTCCCACAAACACCAATGTACTTAAAGTAACAGCGTAAACTTTAATAAGGTACAAATGAAAATATTAAACTAGTTTTTTCAATATTTATAAGATACTATTAGTAATAACTAATACGAAGGAAAAAATACAAAGGTTTTGATTATTCCTCAATGGTTAAAAGACGCGCTGTACAGTGTACTCATATATTGTATATAATTTAGTTTTGTCGTATGTAACAGTCCAATAATTAAGTTGTCAACACGTTTACGTTAGCAGTACTAATACCTTCTTCTATTCATATTAATAACCTGTTTTTTTCTTCTCTAGATAAAAAAAAAAATCATCTGTACGGTTTTTTATCGTAGTATTTCGTTTATTACACCTTTTATTTTACAATCAGAAGATGTTCGTCATAAAACATTATTTCCTTTCTGAAGGTTTTATTTTATCAGTTTATTGTGCTTACCACTTGCGTAAGTTGTATTGTATGTCTGTATTGTAAACGTGTAAATATTTTATAATGTGATTTGATAATGTAATATAATGTAATTGTCAAAATGTATACTTTTTTAAGTAATTCTTTAAAAATAACTATATAAATCATTAAAAATAACCTCTTAACGTAACGGTCACTTAGTCACGGTGTCTATTGGTTAGGTCGGAAGATAGTTTGACGAGTTATAGAGTAATTGCTCTAATTATCATGATTACCGATAGTTTTAAAAGTATACGGTTAAACATTTTTATACTCACTTATCGGTCCTTTGGATACGTATGGAACTGGCCTGGGTTGAGGCACAGACACTGCAACGGCCACTGGTACGGGCAGAGGTTTCTCGGGCACTATATGGCGAGCCTTGCCGGACTTGCTGACTACCGCGTTGAATCCATTCACTGGGTCGGCCGTGTAGTCCACTGTCCTAATCGTACCATCCGGCTCCACCAGACTGTATTGACCTCTGACCACATCGCCCGTTCGCTCTTCCGATTGATGCTTTATGTCACCTGTCGTCGGGTCGTGTACGCCGTACTTGTATGAGTAACTAGCAGGAGACTGTACAAACGAAATTGAAATAATATTTTAATCTACCATAAGTAAATGCGATCGAACACTTTAGGCTTTAACTCTAACAGCACAAAAATAAGTGAAGTCCTCGCCGAATTTCAGAGACGTTCTAGCCATTCCGGGGTTTCGGTGGAAACTTTCATTACTCTTGTGCCCTACTAAGAAAGGTAAAACGTTTGAATAATTAACCAAGTATAAATATTAAGTATGCATGAAGGTTATTCTAGACGCGTATTATAAACTAGGTTAGGTCATAAAGGTCTAAAAGTAGAAGTCCCGGCTCACGTATGTCCTCTATACCCCCCCCCCTTTAAAAAAAAATGATTTTACAGCATACGAATTGCAACATGATTCCACATAAATTAATATGAAAAAAATAGGTTCATAAAACAATTGTATCAATAACGGTTGAATACAATTATCGCGTTTACAATATTGTTATTTAGTATTTACAAAAAAATATAGCAAACCGTAACAGTTATCTAGCATTACGTATTATAGTATCCTCATAAAATTTAAATTCGTAACAGTTTTTCAGAATAGCTTTAACTTATCAACTAAAATAACAGTGCATTGACCTCGCTCGATAATCCAGTTTAGTTATCTTCTTCTTCTTCTTCTCAGGCTTAAAATAGACCATTCTAATGTCGCTTCTACAATTCCTCTCCATTGATTTCTATCTGATGCCAAATTAATGCTATAAGTAGGGTCTATTCGTGTTAAGTCTCTTTTCACCGTATCCAACCATCTTTGACGCGGCCTCCCTATGGGTCTTTTCCCGCTCGGATTTCCAGTGAGATCTTTTCTTATATGACATCCTTATGCACGCCACACGTGCCCAGCCCATTCTAGTTTTTTGCTACTAAGAAATTTGCAAATGTTGGGTTTATTATATAGTCTTTGTCAATCATCATTCTTTCTTCTTTCGTAAACATCTAAATCTACATTAAACACGGGTCCATAAATTCTCCTCAGTATTTTTCTTTCGAAAATGGCTAGCTTTCCTTCATCACCCGTTGTGTATACCAGATTAGTTACATAATATATTTACCTACATAAATAGTTTTAGATCGACAATGTCAAATAGTAAAAACTAACAAAACATTGAACTTAAATGTACTAAATTTATTTTGAAGATATTCATCATCCATTTGTAATCATTTATCTCTAGTTTATCTAGATAAACTAGAGTTTAACATAATATCCAATAAGATGTAGCATGCTTATAAATAGGTATGCACATTTCAATTTTAGTAAATTTATATAATAATAATACAAATCTATAAAATATTTTAACAATGAATGATAATTATACTTCTTAATTTAAAAAAAACCCTGTTAAATGTTTTTGTCGTATTTATGAGTAAAATTATTGTGATTACATGTTTGGATTATTCTAAGTATCTCTAATGTTTAATATTTTTAAAATTTGAAAATAAAACACGCACGTAATTCGGGTCAAGCTGTTATTATAGAACAGCATTTAACCTAGAGGTAATTCTTGGTTACCGTATACCAGTTAATATATAATAAACAATAGTATAATTGGATATTCTCACGTAATAATCAATATCCGATCGACCTGGATATCTTGGCCTTGACTGGGAAAAGCTTATCATAAATAGAACACACAACAGCACCTGAAAAGTTCATAAATTAAGTATTAAGTAGAAAAAGGAGTACAATTTGAAACATGTATGATATAACAAAGTTTAAATTTGTATGAATAAAATATGTTCTTGACCAAGTACATATCTCATTAAACGTAGTCGAGGCTAGCCAATACTATTATACGGTCTTAAATTACTATATGTAAAAATGTGATAATTATACACACGATCGTAACATATTACATTATGATTATGATAATAATTCAAACTATTTTCTTTAAACAGGAATACATTTATAACAAAATAATAATAAAAACCCTTAACCATAAACATTTAAACCATAAAATATTAAAACGATAGGCATTTTTATGGTTAAGGGTTTTTTAAATTATTTTATTACTATAAGTGCTTAAGTTTTTTCTAGAATACATTTATAATTTATTATATTCGCATCAAAAATGCTTATAAGTGGTCATTAACTGAATATTCCATACCATAAACGAGAACTATATAAACGATTAAAAGGTGCATACAAAAAAGTAAACTTAAAAAAAAATAAGCGCGTAAAACATTTTTGTAATTAATTAGTTCATATTGCCCTTTATTATTATAGTACTTCAATTAACATATTGATTAACGTATTGATTTTTTAAATATTTTTTGTTAGAAAATACATAAATAGGGCATGACTATAGGCAAATATATCTACACGCATGGTCTAAGGAATATTGAATATTTTATCCAAAACACCTTTAGGCGCAGGAACTTATATTTAAAAGTACAATTTTGTATTATTATACAAAACTATCGTTACTTACACACATACATAATAGGATTTAGGTTAAATATTGCGTAAATATACATTGTAATTTTTTCAGTCGTTCATTTAAGTTCGATTAAGTCGTTCGTTATTTTGTTATTTTTCGGGCGTACCGATAAAAAATTACTGTAGGTCAAACATTTTATACAATTGAACAAATAATAAAAAATCCCGATATCACATTTAATTATAACCAGTGTTAATGAATAATGATAAATTATTAGTGATGATGTAAAACTGTAAATCAACAGTAATGAATTTCTGATGAAATTGGTCAGGGTACGATGGGGCCACCAGTGCAAAGGCGGTTGGTCCCCCTATCAGTTGCCCAAGTCGTAATTAGTAAGATCGCAAGTAGTATAAAAGCACAGTATGCACTTTCCATGATAGCTTATGATTGCCTATGATCAGTTACTAACAGGATAAGTTGCAAACACCTATCAAAGTGCGACCTTCAACATGATAATACTGTACATATACAACCTTTATACATGCTTGTTTAAGAATGGTCGGCATTGAAATAGGTCGTTTCAGAAAGTACGGTTGCATCAAGAGCCTTACATAAGACCTGTCGGTATAGGTAGCCTAGTAGCAAAACGAAAACAATATTGGAAGAATAATTATTATGTCGGTCGCTCAAGTTTTCTTTCATTTTACATTTCCTTTGGATAAAATATTAAAAAAAAAAATTCAATATAATGGTAAGTTGGCCAACTCAACAATTAAACGTACAACACAGGCATGCGTTTTTTTCCTTTTCAGCTATGCTGAGGAATACTAAAAAACTAGTGTATAATAACATTATATCGTATATATATATATAGTCGATATAACGGGTGTAGTGGCTGTGGAGACAATATAATAATATTTTTTCGTTGGAAACGCGCGTTGCATGAGAATCTACAAAGTGAAGCAACATTGTTTCATTAATATTTATAATCGGTACACGCATTGATAAGAAGTATGAACATAATATATAACGGTAGAGTACAAAACAAAACAATACTTATTTATTATATTGCACAACTGTACCATCTATGTAGACTTGTCGGTCAATTCTCATATTTTGTCGTTTCGTCGACACCTACTTCTGTTCTCTCATTCACTAATTATTAAGACTTATATTTTATAGCTTTTTTTTTTGCCAACTTATTTATTTTTATAATATATTTTATAACGATTTTCATTATAATCAAAGTCATAAAGTCCACAGCCTATAATCTGTATAAACAGCTAATATTCTTCAGAATTTAATGGTATAATAATTATTTATCTGCTTTTAATAAAGCTTGAGACCTAGATTTACAACCTCTAAATGCTATAGAAGTCAAGTCACATCATAGAACTAAATTATTTTATTAAGAATTCTGTAACTAGACATTTCTCTACTGATTAAAATGTTGTTTAATTAAATAAGGTTTTAGATATTGTTTCCATTCTTTATTTTTTAAATTATTTAAAAATAAAAAGGATCTAAACGTGGACATTTCTATTCATATTAGTGTAATAACTAATAACGATTGATCAATAAAACGGTAAAACTTTAACAATTACTAAATTACTGTTTACAAACATTTAAATGATAATAATAAAATATTGGTTTGTGGAAAAGTGAACTTTTTGTCATGCTTAACACATTGACGGACATTACTGCTATAGCAGTAATATGATATTTTGACATTTTGGTGGCATTAGTGTTATAGTAGTAATATAAAAAATGAATGTTATGGTATTACAGCTATAGCAGTAATCTTTTCAATGGTGTCAGATGATAAAGAAAACTCGACTATTGGGCGAACTATTCAGTATTGGAAATTTCAAAAATTATGAGTGTCCATCAACGTGTTAATGGCTTTATACTTATTAATGTCATAGTCTGTTTATGCAAACGCGGTACAAATATAAAGGACATTTTTAATACATATAACAATAAAGCTGTTTTACTTTAATTTAACACGTTTAATCATAAAGTATTACTGCATTATAAAGTTAAATATTACATGTACAATTTTGTAGTAAGATATCTGTTTTATTATAAATCGTATTTGCTCTCGACCCATTCGTTTACGATTACTACTCAGCACACCTGACCTGATACATAACATACAATGGACTAAAAATTGTTTTATACCTATGGAATGACGTATATCAATGGCGTATCATAATAATTTTGTATATCTAAAATCTAAATAACACTTAGTAAGAGCTAATCTTAATATTTTGTACTTCAGTGATAGCTGAAATGATTATCGCCGTAAAAGTCAGTGAATAAATATAACAAAAAGGTAATTTCATCATCTTACCTATTAAGTTTTTGTATAGTTTCCAATTTAAGGTTTATGAATACGGGCGTATATACAACAACAATTGATTTCAATTTTATTTATGGAATGACTACGACACAATATGTGTATTTGGTACTACATAAATGAGAAAACTAGCACAATTTAACGTATTAAATATGTGTTTCGTGCTAAATATTAATGACATGTTATACAGAAAAAAAAATCGTAAATTATGTTCGACTCTTCTAACTTCAACATCTCGTAAGTAAATTTTCAAATTGATATTTTTATTTCCATATACATACTTTATTGTATAACCAAAAAAAAATGATACTTTTTAACTTTTAATTTTTTTTATTTTTGGCCACATTTTTGGCGTATTTTGACTACTGTGAGATGTGGCATTTGCATTATTGCAACTGCTTGTTCATTTTATTGGGGAGATTAAAAATACCCTTGGTCGGTCATGATGTTTTGAGGTTATCGGCTGACAGAAATCATACTCATGTTATACATCTATATAAGACTTGGCGTTTGCAAAAACCATTTGACCGTCGTGGCTACTGAAGTAACGTTTTAGATTAACCCGAATCCCAGCGGCGAAGGTCGTCGGCGATTTCATTTAAATAGATTTATACGGATCTCAGGATCCATGAGAACCGTAAAAAAACTGAAGCCCCGTGTTCAGTCGAGAGGCCGAGAAGTATTTACTTTGGAAGGCCACTGGTCAGTGGGAAAGAGACGACGGAAATAATTATTAAAAAAATAATAACAGCGAACACAACAGACCAATATGGCAAGAAGTAAAGGTATTTACACACAAATAATATATTATGCTGAGTTCATGTTGACATTTCACCATGGTATCGCGTTTAATTTTTATTATTTACTTTTTCCACCGAAAAAATTACACGCGGCGCATTTGACATTTTTTTTCGATACAAGTTTTTGTTGACCGTATCGCGGTTTAAAACATAGACCTGTCAAACGAGTTAAAAAAACAAAACATTACATTCCTTTTTTTAAAAACACACAACCGCGTGTATAATATTTTATTGTCACTATCGTCATTGTTATACCGGACGATGTCTTATGTAATTAAACGAAATTTATTAACATCGAGCCTAGGTTAATTTGTTGTCCCTCTGGTTTAATCATTATAATATTAAGCCGTCGTTCCCCCGAGATACGGGTAGCATGCTCACACTGTAATCGAACAAAATATTATATAGGATATATAATAATAATAATATCGTTATACTGTGGGAACCCCGACTGTTTTATAAGATGTCGTATATTAAATTATCAAAACGTAGAAAAAGGAGAGCTCATCGATAATTAATAGCCTTATATCGATCTTCTACGCCTGTATTAAAAGCTATACGTATATCGTTTAGCCACTGTAATAACAATAAACCAAAAGCATCCTACTTTTACATTCAATCTATTTTTTATTGTTTTAAAAATCGACCATCCAAGAGCACGTGACTATAATATATCATGGGTTTAGAGTGCTTTAGACGGTTGCATAAGAAAATAGTCGAGTATGTAACTTAGTATAACTGTGAGAGAAAATAAATATCGTAGCTGTTTTGTTTCAAACAAACAAAAACGTTAATAGGACGCCACACCGCTCATTTTTAAGGAGTAAAGTATAGGAAATTCTTTACAAAATCTTAACTTAAAGGTTAAACTGTGATGTGTGTGAGTTCAGTAGTTAGGACTCTTTTTTTGTATTTAAATTATTTTTCGGACTATCACAGCATCCTTGAAAGCAATTTAAAAAAAATTACTGTTAAGTTGAGTTTTATGCGGATTAACTTTTTTTAGACTTCATAAATAGTTAAGGAAAGAAATTCATACATATTATTTATGACAAAATTATCTGCTCTCTATCATCCGTATTTTTTCGATGTACCTAATACAACCAACGGTATATCATTTTTAAAAAAGTCCTTTCTTAATAATTAATTATTCATTAACTGGTTGAAATATTTAAAAAAAAGGCGATGGTAGAACACAGACAATGTTGTTATCTATATTATGTGAAAATTTGGTTTCTTAGTTTTGATTACAGCCTTTGTAAAATTAATCCGCGCAAGGCGGGTTTTTTGAAGAAAATAACGGGTGTGTGGAAGGAAACGGGAAACCACCACATAATATATTCCCTAGTATCCGCAGCATGAATTGCCTCAATGTAAAAGGATATATAGACGGTAAAACTGGAAGAGGAAGACCAAGAATAGAATACATTTCACAGATTATGAAGGACATGGAAATAGGTAGTTATCGAGATCTAAAGGAGCTGAGTTTTAACAGAGAAGCTTGGAGAACTGCGGCCAACCAATTGAGAGATTGAAGACCGAAAAAAAAAAAACGGGTGTGTGGCGCCCTCTTAATTAATAATAATCGTTTTAGGTAGAACCCGAATCCACCCACTTCATTTTATCCGTGATTTAATAACTAAGTTAACAGATATTAAAAAACATTTTATTGAGAAAAAAAATGTACCATGTAGAGTCAAAGTAAAAGAGTTAATTACAAGATAACCCGGCATGACAGCTTAATTGTTTGGTACACGAGTAAAATTAAAGTTATATTTTTAATGTATTCTGATAAGTAATGAATGATGATCGTTGGTTAACATCAAGTCACTTGTTAACATTAAAATCATTAAAATTTTGAAGTCTTAATTATTAAGACCTCAATTTCGAGAAGAGCTTTTTTATGTATTTAGCCTCGATCGGGGAAACACATCTATTCTTTTGTAACGACCACCCTAATAAATAGATACATAGATAGATTTTTCGTTTTTATGTAATTTGGAATAACTAGACACTTAAAAGTATTTATGAGATAAACACTAATTAAAAATCCTTATTTGCCTGGGAGATATTGCAACGTACGTATATTATTAAGTTATTTGAGATATTGATAGTTATTTGTGTTATATGAGATTTCGTTTATTGCACTAGTTGTTAGTTTCTTAGAGTTTCAAACTTAATTAGTTAATTTTTGGGTATGATTAACTTAACTATAAACTATATATTTTATTTTTCGGATAAACATTATGACAATTTTTTTTATATAATATAATACGATTTTGACTATTTTTATCATATTATTTTTCGAATTCAAAACAGTTGATAATCTTATTTTGATCATCCAACAAAGGACAACCAAGGATCATCCAACCATATTAGTCTAAAAGCAAAGATAAATTAATGGCATGCAAAATGGGAGTCACCAGCTAACTTTTTCTTTTAATTAACTTGAATATTAATAATAGCTTTCAAGTTGAACATTTGATTTAACTTTTATGTTAACTAAAACTATTTAATTTATCTTAACCAATGTTTTAAATTTTTAACTATAACATGCAGTACTCGGTTGCACCAGTTGTGTCCAGTGTGACTAAGTAACTAATGCGTTAACGTTGGAACATTCGAGAATACAATTTGTTCGAAACACTTACTTTTATTGTTGAGGAGATCATGACGTCCAATGAAGTAGTTTCACTGGTTTAACACGAAACAAAACGTAAAACTATCCTTTTTTTAAAAAAAAAAAAAACCCCGTCGGCGTCGTCCGTCTACTTATACATTTGAGGTTTCGACCAAGACGGGACAAAGCAGAAAACAAACGGCGTTTCGATTCGTGCTCGCCATATTTATAAGGACTTTTAAAGCAAATTATCTGAATAACATGTTGAAAAATGATGAAAACTTAATTATCGTCCAACGCTGTGCGATCCCATGCGAACAATGAGACAACGGACCCAAGGCTGCTGACCCATGGGAACCGAAAAATGTACACATCGTACTAACTCTGGACACAGAGCACTTCGCACGGACTGATGCAACCGGCCACAATAATAATTATCATATTATACTATTCTGCATAACATTATATTGTGTTTTCATTTTTCTGTTATAATATTATGTGGGTCTACATATTATTTTAAAACTCACGAATACGCAGTTGTAAAGTAATATTAAGAATTCACTAATAATTTTTCAACTTTATCGAATTCAAAAAGTTTTTTTTTTAATGAAATATGTATACCTAAAACAAATATTTAAGGGTTTGCCCCTGTTAATGTTTGCTACAGGTTAACGTTGTATACTTTATAAAATATCTTGAACAACTTGGTTTGCCGACCTATATAGTTATCCTAACAAGTAGACAGTAGTTCCTCGCAGAACAATGATGGCCTCGAACACGAATTTTCTACTTTAAATACGAAATATTATTATTAACATGTGATGTTCGTTGAATAGTAATATCTGTATACTTTATTTCTTCACACAATTTATTTGAACATCAAATGAATAAGTATTTTGTGTCTGTGCGAACGACAAAACTATTTTTACTTTAATCCCGATTTTTATACATGTATACATGTGCACATACATCCCATATAATATGTGCTTACGTGGACTCTTGTGTGTGATTATGCGACTTATAATATGATATACTCGTAATGCGAATCAAACTCGTTGACCGTTTCCCAAGAGATTTAAATTTACTTGGAGTGGAGTTCCTCGTTTCAATTGAACGCGATTATGCGGTTGGTAAGATACGGTCCTTATAGAAAACGGGCACCCACTTAAAAATGTTGAAGTCACATCACTATTGTTGTATATTATATGGGAACCCATATCCATCCTTTGCATTCAGTGTTTCGAATGGATTAGAGTCTGAAAATCGTTTGCGTTTTTACTTAATTATTATTAAGTCGTCTCGGAAACGTTGAAACGACTGGTATACAAAAGAACACATGTCTTGGTTACAATACAACAATATGTCAATTGAATAAAAGTTAAAAATGTTCTAAACCGGTACTAATACATATATAAACTGAAAAATATAATATAAAATAGAAATTATCGGAATCTTACATAAATTCCTTTACTCTTTTTTTTTATAATGTAGAGTCATCAAATATCGTTTAGAACAGCTCTCCGTACGTTATTGCACAGCAGACCAATATTCTCTGTGTCACACATACAAATGGATATAGATGGATGAAAAAAAAATGATAGGAACTAAATGAATACTATCAATAATTATCAATAGGTACATGTTTTACGGTGTTAAATAATTCCATACAACATTATATTATTATACATTGTGATCCGGTAAATGGTCACACGTCGCGGTATTATATCCGGGATGTCATCACTTCGAATATATTGTAATCTAAAACATTTTACTATATTATAATATAATATTACATTTATCTATATCTATATGATATAAATATTGTATTATTCGCGTTGAATGGTGTAGAGAGGAAAAATGTGCTCGGATAAAAATATTTAATCGATTGAATTTAATTCCTAATCGCATAACAATAGCCGTGCGTCACATTTACATAACATATAAATATTTTAGTAAATACTTTATGGCGCAAAACGTGATTATGATTTTGACCACGTTCACCATGGCAATCGTGCAAAAAAAAAAAATAAGAAAAACCTATTAACCATTAGGCGCTGTGATCATGAGCCATACGTTCTCGCAGTAATGGCCAATGGGAAATATTGTTATAATAGTAATAAAACGGTCACGTGTTGTTTTTGTTTCTTCTTAAATATTAACAAATACATAAATAGTCCTTGAAAACTTAAGCAATAACAATGTAAAGTAAAAAATAGAGTACATATTTGTATAAAATAATTTTCCTTCTGACGGCCCGCATTGTGGTCCATGTTTTCAGAATTTCTTCTCTGACGCTAGAAAATAATTCCAACGTCAGATTCGGGTTCAGCCAAATAAAAAAATCCAATAAATTATCGTATTTCCGTAACTCGTTTCAAAAAAGATCCAAAATTAATAATTTATGTATTAGTCATAACCGTTTGAAATTTTATAATTAAACTAGCTTAGTGTATCCGGCTTTGCTATATTTACAATGTAAATCGTATCCCGTTCCTTCCTTCGCTATCATTCCATCCTATCTATCTAGAATTTGAGCAAGTACATTCAGGGCTTACCCCGAACATAGATCTTTTCTCACTCTTAAGGTTGCTAGAGTTTTTTACCCCTACGCATTTACTTTTCAGGATTCAAATAATACGTGTACCAAGTTGGATCGAAATAAGTGCAGCCGTTTGAACGCCTATAAAGAACATACATACTCTCTGTTAGTCAGACAACATAAACATATTTCCGAGAAAATCCCTGAAAATTAGTTCGATAGTCTTTCTTCTAAAAATACAACAAATCAGTTATCTAATCAATTTGATAAGATTACTTAAATTCTTAACTATATGTTTGAATGTTACAAGGATTTTGCCCCGTACTGCATATTATATACAAAGAGGAGGTTTTTTTTTTTAATAAAAGAGTACATTGTGAAACTTATTATTTCTTCAACCGAAATTATCTTAATGCTAAGCGTATATGTTATTAAATGTACAATAATATTATTTCTTATGATTTTGCAATATTTATTTTACATAATTCTATTTTCGGTTATTTGTGCGATAGAATTAGTCCATTGTGGTATTATCGTAGATCAATGCTTAAAACATGTAGGTATGTTTATACAATTATGATAATATAATGTTCCTAATTATTCAGACCTCTATTGTTCATATAAACAAAAAAAACAAATATTTATTAGAGAGAAGAAAAATCCTAAGGTATAGTTTGAATAACATGATACAGGATGCTGCAAAAAGATCTGACGGTTTTCCGTTAAAAACAAACGGAAAACCGTCAGATCTTTTTACCGCACCTTTTTTTTTTTTCCATAACATTTTACCGCACCCTGTACATGTGTAAAACTTATTAAGAATAACGATACTAATAATATTACGCCAGCACCATAAAAAATCTAGACTATTTTGTTTTATAGTGTAAAAACTAAAACCAACTAAAAAAATATACACGTTAAAAAAAGTATTAAGTGTTTTGTAAAATATATTTTTACTATTTTTAAGACCTTGTAAATTTTCATTTTTACTTTCAACAATCACATGTGTTATATTTTAATATACATTATATAACTTAGTGTAGGGGTCGTTTATGTACGACGTCTCTTGAGTAGATTAGCATTATACTTAACAGTTCTATGAATACGGTTGCATATCGCACTGCACAGCCTAGTCAATAATAATGTTATGTTTACAGATTAAAAATCTCTATTTATTTTGATCTAAAACAGAATATAATCGGGACTTCAGTCATTTAAAAATGTAATTTTAAGACTTCACTGGATTAATTAACGTCGGGATAAAAATAAAAACACTTAGCTGTTACCTGTCAGCAATTTGCAATATCATGCTGAAATATTATGGAATTTAGAATAACTAGAAAATAATGCAATGTTTTCTGCTTATTTTCGAAATTATATTCATTTCTGATGTGGATTAGCTCTAAGAGCTCTTTTGTTGCCTGTTAAAAAAAAAAATATAGCAAAAATACGTACAGTCAAACACGGAAAATAACAAAAACGTATCGAGTCATAATCTCGTATTTTATTATGCACAACCATTATACAATAAATTGCACTAAATACGTGACAGAGTACACGGTTAAGCCCAATTTGCTGTCGCATTCTTTTACATTTAATTCAATTTTGGTTCTCGTCTACGTGAGGATATTTTTAAGATACAATGCTTCGAATACAATTATATTTAAACCGGAATACAGTTCTGCGTTCGAAAAACTACCCCGTGTACATAATATTATGATAATATACCTAATCGGATTATAATGGAAATAATCGAATTTACATATAAATTATTTTTTTATACATAATATAAATATTAGGAAAATAAAAAATACTTAACATTGAGCTAAACGGAAAAACATGGATGCGCTTGTTTGTAAAAGTAAAATATATTACAAATGTATATATATGTATATATACATACACAAGGTAATTAACTTATCGTAACCGCTCAATATCTCACTGGGTTTAAGCTATTGAAGTTATTGAAGTTTCAAGTTCAGGGCAGGAGGAAAGGTGTAGTGTAGTAACTTTATAATATGCACACAATTCCAAACCGCACTTATTAATTTTATTGCGCGCACTTTTCACTCCGTACTTCCCCTCTCGTCCTAACTTTTAAACTCTTATAACTTTAAAAATAGTTATTCAAAACTGGTTATCGACCAGTCATCATTTTTAGTACATTATCTTCAATTAAAGAAGTTAAATAATGTATGCGTTATCATTTAAGTTTCAAAAGTTGCTATAAAAAAAAATAAGTAAGAAGGGGGGTAAAAACAAAAAAAATTGTAAGGAGTATCAAACAAGTTATGCGTTGATTTGTGCACAAGTGTCGAAATCCTATGTTAAATCCTATTCAAACTTTAACCCTTGTGTGGCACGGGTTAAAATTAATATTTTTCTTTTTTTTTTCTATCTTATTTTCATTGTATTAAGAAACTTTTTAGGAGGCGTCGAGATTTAAATACCAAAATCGACTTTTTAAGGGCCACTCTAATATATATATATATATTTGTATTATATTTTACTTTACAAACAAGCGCATCCATGTTTTTCCGTTTAGCTCAATGTTAAGTATTATTTATTTTCCTACATAATAGGTATTTAAAAGTATATTGAAGTACAAGTCAAGTCGAGGTCTAAGGAAGTCAAATGTCTTTAGGAAGGTTAAGTTGTTGTCTCGTTTAGTGCTTTCAGTGTATGATTTCCGATCTATAGTCTGGCTATACGAAGAAATCAGCTGAGTTTTTAAAAGGTTATCGTGGTTAACCTTAAAACAAACATAAATAAATAACATTGTTGTACAATTTTTGAAGATACTATTATTTCTAAAAAAATGACCTAACCGGTTGTCTAATATAATAATATGTGTACTATTTTATTTTACAATGAATAAAGGTTTAACAAACATTTTTGAAATAACCTCTCTAGAATATAATACCTTAGAATCCTAAATTAACTAATTTTTAAAAACTCTAATGCAATATAATCTTAATTCGCTATTATTTTGTTTGTGTAGTCACTACTTATCCTTAACAAATTTATTGCATCGCCATAAGACGAGATCACTTTGTAACAGAAAATATACATATCAGTTAAAAAAACCATTAAATTCTAGTTTGTAAATCTATTCGGTATAATTTTTATTGTATTCAACAACTAAACATGTTTGCCTATTAAGTCACTATTTAATAATAAACGTAGTTAAAATCTGAATCAATACAAAGACGTAATAATAATAATAATGTAAGGGTCATCATATCAAATTGTGTACACTTCATTAGTGTCACGGTAATTTAAGGAGTTACACAACGGATGCGGTTATTAATAATAAAGTAATCACGGTTGCCAATATGATAATAAAGTACCGCAGGTTATGACACTAGACAGATGCTATAATAAAAGCAACAAAATACATATGTATGTAAATGAACAAAACGTTATGTTAAATCTTCAACAGACAATATTGTCCCTTATTTTTTATAAGAATACCTATAGACATTGAAGTATAAACGAAACAATCAAGTGTTCGTTTATAATTTAAGGAAGTACTGTCTACTGTTGTCCAGACACATTGTTTCATCATTGTCATTAATAGTACATACTAATTACTAATAATATTTTCATGTATAGGTGGTCATTAATGTTGGCGTTTAAAACACTTCCTTTCTATTTTCCTTGCCCGTACTTGTCTAGGGTTGCAATGGTTTACCAGAAAACAAACCAGATGAAACTTCAATCAGTATCTATCAGAGGACTTTATGATTTCCTAATGGTTTTACGCATAGCAAAAATCATAGCCCACATATAAAAGTAACTGTAGAACCTTCGAATAATAAATACAAATGGAAAGTTTCGACTCATGAGTAGATACAATTTGCACAGGTTTATTTATTTGATAAAGAAGAAACATTGTATGGTTTCTTTTTTTATTCTTAATTTTTTGTAGCATTATGCGAATATGGTAAATATATGATAATTATATTATTATGTTATTCTCTATTCATTAAGTCATCTTATTACTATTACGGTCGTCGTTTGTTTTGATTTATGTCAAAGCATGTATTTCGAATAAAAGAAAAATTGAAAAAAAATACTTTGACTTGAGCAATAATAATGTATCCGACAATATCAAAACCCTAGGGTACGCGTAATAGAAAATCACTAAAGGAAAATAACCCGAAGTTTCATTTCCGCTTTAATCGACACCCTTATCACTGCCAGAAAGGTGACCGATTCCGAGAAGTCCATGGTTAATGGAAGTTTCTAAAGAGATGTAGGTAAGAATGTAACCCATAAGAGTCAGTCCGAGTTCTCTATGTGGCCCCACTGACGATTTTCTCGATAGCGAAAAAAAATACCTACAACGGATTACTAATATTGATGGATACTATTGTTGTGTTGAAACATTTGACAAAGTTGATTCGGTTGTTCATAAATACTAGTGTCGTATCGTGAAATAAACTTTGTGTCGTCCGATATTAAACACTTAGTAATGGCTGTCCTTTGAAAATGTCGTCGTCGACAAAATCCACTCCTATACGCTTGTCTTGATAACAGGTTCATTAAATCGGCCGGTCTACGAAAAACAATTATCCGGGGTATTAACTCGAAATGGCCTTGTTTCCTGTGCATATCAAATCATTGTATTGAAATCGACCGGATTTTACAAATGATTCCAATAGCTACATAATAAAATAATAGTATGTTTTGTGCTACGGTACCTGGTGTCATGGTGGGTTCACTCGAAGCAGACGCATTTTAATACTATACATGGTGGTGGTTTTTGCGATAGGTATAACGTTAATAGTATAATATATTTAAATGATCAAATGTTTCCTGCGCTGAAACTAATGCCAAAATCGATAGTTTGCGAAATACCAAAAGAAAAATGATCGTTATGATAATAAACGTCTAAGCAGCGCCCGAGGGGAAAACAAACAACGCAGGCACCTAATCGAATTTTGAAATAACCTTCTAAATCGGCCGCAATTAGACATGATCCAATAAACACGGACCTATACATATTACAACCCGTACAATTTCCATTATAGATTTGGACACGCGAAACAATAATCTGCTATAAGACTGATTTGATGTTAAAGTCAGCGGCCGATCTAGGTGAGATCTCTAAGAATTCGCTATCCGGCAGCTATTATCAAAAACTTAATAGTCCTACCGTAGTCGCGTACCTATACTATAAGTTGTCACCTATCGTGTTTTAACGTTGGCGAGCACGTGGCAAAATGGGGTAACCTAACCTAGTTGGGTCGTACTCAACAAAAGATGTCTTTCGGTTATAAACTTCTTCAAAGATCACCGTGTTCATTATAGTCTGTACAGGAAATTCTTAAATCGCGCAATGCCGCCGATGTCGCCCAAGCCGTATTTCGCTCAAGACAGGTAAAATATAAAATAAGGATATGTCAATCTGAAGAGACTTGTATTATGTATCCATTTAATTCCCATATTTTTCATTTATTTCTTAACATTAAAGATTCTTGTAATTCTAGGTGCTTGTATGGTTCTTATGTTTAAATATGTTTGTATCTACTAGTCGTTGTATGGTACAAAGCTGGATATGATGATTAGGTTTACGTTGGTGTAATGTATTTTGTTTTTACTGGAAGACACGACAAAATATGTTGAATTGCCTCTTTGATTTCCTGTAGACATTATCTAGAAGAGGCTTCAAGTATAGATGATAGATAGTTGCATTTCTAACTTTTAGTGTGCTATAACGAAGTACTGTAACATGGTAACGTTATAACTATAACGCTAGTATTATAACGTGCTGGTTTACAGTATGCTGGCTGGGTAATTATTATTACAACATGCACAATATTACTATTAATATAAAATAGTAATGATTCGACGTGTTCTTAGGAAATAAATTATAATAATTGAGTTGCCATCCCATACTGCGAATTGTCGTTCAATCGAAACATAATATATTATTATGACAATACAATACACGACCGTCGTTTTGAAATAATAATTATTGTTAAAAAAAGGAGATATTGCAAACATGCTCCATATATTCCATGTTAATAAAGTAGTTACTTTTTAAATAATTAAAATCTACAATGAGGCGGACCCAGCAGAACAGTAACTAATATCGTACCTACCGTCTACAATACTGTATAATTTATTATCATTTTCAAATGTTAGCATAATATGTATAATAATGTTATTAGTTAAGTTCATACATGGTTTGATATTCAACTTATATTAAGTGGATAATTTTGTATGCTAAATTTTTTGTTATAAAGATTTGTTTATTGTTTGTATTTCTACAAAAAGAATATAAGCGTGAGGTGCAAAGTAGTATGAGTACTTATACAACACCTTAGTAAAGTATAAAAAAATAAATTCCATATCTTACTGTAAAATTGAAATTCTGATTCTCAGAATACCACAAACTGTTTTTCCATTGAATCTTTTGACTGACAGCGTCAATTTACGAAATGTTTTATAAAAGAACAAGGGTTTTGTGAGCTGACTTGACATCTCTTTTTTTCTTGGCATTATTATTTATACCGTGACTACTGATTACTCCGGGTAAACATTTCAGATGTATCTAATATTTAAATGTTTTGAATGAAGAACAACCCGTGTTCAGTTATCATTAGTATAAATTTGCTTTAAGTATTTGAATAAACACAATATTATTTAAATCATTTCATAAAACATAAATATATATTTGGAGAAGTACATATTTGTTAGGCTTAATTCATCTAAAATATGCGTTACATCAACAATGCTGTCTTAGGTATCATTAAACTTGTAACTTTATTAAGATTGGCTCGAGTATTAGTTTGACATTTCGACTTTGTCTGTGCATACTGCATTCCAAACGTTATTTACACAATTACCATAACATGCATAATATATAGGAACTGAAATTATGTACAAACGTGCCGTTATACGCATTGACTATATTATGAAATGCTGTGTACTTAGGTAGGCTTTGCCGGGATGAACTAATTCCTACGATAATAAGCCCGTTTGGCGGTAAATGTACTCTGGACTCTGGGTAGCTCATCGTGGGCGTTTCCATATTTTTTTATTTATAAAATGATAAAATTGTACATTTTTTTTAAGGAAACCACGCATATGTGTTATGTATAATTATGGCAACATCAAAAACCGCATTCGTCGTACTCGAGCGCATGATATTATTATTATTTTTTTTTTTGGCGTGTTCCGCCTATGTCGGCTGATTACATTACGGTGTATCATTGTGTCGTATTGTCCACGTCCACTGTGTATAGATCAGATCTGTTGCCGCCGTTTCTGCCGCTGGTCCTGTCGAAAATATACAGGCAATATAGTGTTATAGGTATATATATATATATATATACAAACGTTAGCAACAGCAGCTGGAAAACGCGGGCAGGCAATACAATAATGTCAGAAGACGTAACCGCCCGTCTATCTGGGTGGTTATGTTTTTGAAAAAAAAAAATGTTTTTTACGCCGTCATTCTTCATGTCATTATGTCACGGGCCGCCGCGAAGGTAAGGAAAATCCGAATGTGGGGCGACGCCGATAAAGAATGGGGGGAAAAAATAACCGATACATAATTAACGGACCCACGCCGATGTCCGTCATAGACCGTATCACCTCTACTCCGGGAAATTGTCCGGGAACCGTGTTAAGTCGAGACGCGACCGCCGCATAGGAAAATTCGACACATTCGCTTGCCGTCATCATACCGGGCCCGTGTAGTTCTTGTATGCTTTTAGTGGATATACTATTGTAACGTACTCTACACAACCAACTTACAGGTTCGACCCGCAGCAGCACATTCGCCGACAAAATGAAGTCCGCACAAGCAAGCCGAGTAAGTTTGGTCCGGCATCCGCTTTAACTGTTTAATGGACAAAATGTAAAACCATATATACCTATGATTAAACGAAATGTAATTAAATATTATTATTAGTACTGGAAAGCATACTGTGCCCTGCTAGGCAAAAGTGCTGTAACTAAAAAAACGAGTTAGCTACAGAAAATGACTACAATTGTTTTTTTTTTTTACTTGGTTTATTCGTTTTTTTACAAACAAATCTTTCGGGTTACGGCACTTTTGCTAACCAGGGCAGCGTAGATCACATTCATCAAATTATCTTACTAATGCTGGGTTGCACAAAACTTTATGGGCTCCATAAACCGTATTTGGACTAACCACAGTGATCCCTATAGACTATATGCAATAAACTAAGTTATGTGCGACCTAAATTTATACAAATGTCGATTGCGATGCTATCTAACTTTTAAAAATATACTTTTTCATAGGGTAAACGAGATGTGTTCATTATGGGAAACACAAAATTACATTTCACTTATAAAAATTTTAATGTGTGTTATTATTTTGTCTCTAAAATCCTGACAATTTTTTTCTCTTAATACTAATTAATTTATATTTTTATTGTTTAATTATCTACTGTACTTTTACCGTCGGGGTGTTGATATATTTATAAATTAAAAACTAAAAATTTTGTTGGGAGATATGTTTTTTGATTAACAATAAGTATACATAAATTAGTATAGTATAAAAATAACAAATAAGACTAAATTGAAATAAACATCGTTGTATTAGGCAAACGGCAATACCTCGTTTCATCAATTTTTTCAATAATAATGTTTTACTATATTTCTGTTTAAACCTTATTTGGCGGTATTATAAAATAGTCTGTGTATATAACACATAATATTTCTCGCTAAAATTAAAAACTGAAAATTCGTAATTAAAATGATGGTGTAATATCAGATATATTTTTTCATGTTCCTAGAAAATTCAAAATTTATAGATACAAGGTGTTTTCGTTTGTCTAACTGTATTTGTATGTTTTTAATGTTCTATGTAAAAAACAAATAGGTTTTTTTTAAATACAATTACATATTAACTTTCAGTTTTATTAAAATAATTAGACTTTACGCTTTTTAATTAAATAAACACAACAGACATTATGCTCCCATTTGGAAGACTCGCAGTTTGACTATTAATAAATATTAGGGAAGATGGGTAACTACGTCATTATACAAACTGCGACAAAAATGATAAGATACATTCCACAAACTATAACAATTTATTTTGTATACCTATACTATAAAATATACTATAATATATATATATACCGAATACCGAACACGACTGTTATGTTGTAACATGTATTATTATAGACATATGGTGTGCACATATAGTCAATAGGAGTAAAAGTGTAAACATTTTAAAACAAATTTTAAAAATACTTTCAGTTTTGAAATATAAAAATTTATCATTATTTTACAAGGCATTTCGTTAATATTTCTTTCAGAAATGTTTTGTTTAATACTATTACTCACGGCTTGAAGTTCAAATGTTGTATCTGGTTCGTGATTATGTATCAAAAATTGTTTTTCTTGAAGAATTATATTTGCATTTTTTTATTTGAGAGCATGACTATGTTTTATAACCACTTTTTTTAATTCAATTCATTCAAATTTAAAAAATTTTAACACTATTAATTGCTTGCCATTCTGGCTAAACATCGTTGTGAATTTCTAACTAAATAAAAACCCGTTTACTGTTGTCTTTATATAAAATACAAATTAAATATTCTATGACATGACACATGTACTTCTTCTACTAACTAATGTCGCGGTTTGTAGAATGTATCTTATCATTTTGTCGCAGTTTATATAATGTTTAATTTTGTTTTATAGAAAAAGGATAATTTTAGCGCAGTTTACATACAGCCGATATTAGATTATGCACCTTAAGATTAAGTGGATTGTTTAAATGTATAATATTCACTTATAGTTCACTTTAATTTTTATGTGAACATCAAATGTAGGTGAAAAGTTTAGAAGTTGATAAAAAGTTGTGTAATGTATAAAAACAATAAATGGGCCATATTTTTGTTATGTTATTCAAAGCTTTTCAAATCATCTTATGTACTTCAATAATCAAAATTTTAAATATTTATTGCACTTTTTTTTACATTAAATTTTACTCATAGCCTGAAGTTTGGGGGTTATCGTTAATCTAATAAGTGCTATAATTTATTATATTTATCATAACAATGAGCTATAAGGTAAATAATATTACCTATGTATACAATATATTCAACACTATAATATTAGTTTCTAAATTAAAAAGTAGTTCGGTTATTAAATGTATCAGTAGTATCTGGTCAGCTGTTGTAGTATAGACGCTATTATTACTTTTAATAATGAACCGTTACATCCAGTGTCTCTGTGTGTACAATACCAATAATAGTTGTACCTATACATAATATTATTAAAGCGTGTTTCATACTTATATTTAATTACGATTGACGCATATAGTTATTGTGCAGAGCACAATATTGTTGAATTACCTATTTCGAGGTTCTTAGCTTTCCCGAATCCAAACAGAGGACACTCGATAATAGTTTGTTTACATAACAGCTATATTATACTGGATAGTTATGTGATTAATGAATCCCATACCATATAGTATACAATATTATTATTGTTGTTAAAATATGCGTTATGTTTGGTCTAGGTTTTGGTAATTAAGTGTTACTAGTATAGTATTACCTTTTTTCCGACTTGGTAGGTATAATGTAAATAATAATAAAAGTATCGTTTTTAGTCTGTCGGTATGTTCATGATCATCACAACGGGACTACCGATGGTACTGTGTCAATACTACAGCGAACACGGCGGTGACGGTCATCATGCAGAACCACAACACGATGACCATTATGTGAGTAACAATATTATTAGTACAATCTTCTGCTTTTCCGCCTTATACCACACATGACTTGAACGGTGAACCACACCTCGAGGACGCTAAATGCTGGAAAATTGAACACACATGTTTATAAGCCCAAACTTAGTCAACATAAACAATAGTCACACCTTTTTTTCGGGCTAACCACGATGTTGTTTTGTGTTTGATTAAATTTACCAAGGGTAGATTGTTAATTTTTCTTAGTACAACCAAAAAGGCATCGTCGATAGTAGTCTTTCTTGTATCTTCATACGCACATACGACGGGCGGGAGACAGGTAGACGAGAAATCCGATCATAATCGAGCAACGATCGACGAACGAAGTATCCGGCTGGCGCGGGTAGACGTGCGGTGCTGGGCCCGCGCGTATGTCGATATCGGCGAATTTTAAATGTCTGTAACTTCTAAACTAAGTGCGAGCGGGGCAAAATTTTTACATATTCGTAGTCAGCATGAAAAATTCTATCGATTTAAAAAAAAAAAGGGTGTCTGGTAAAGTAGATTTACACCGGTACTTCCACAATATCTATCTAATTTTATCAATGCAGTGAAACATATATGAAATTTTTTTTTTTTAAATATTCATATTGTAATACGTAGAATTATATGAGAAAGATAATTTTGAAATTCCCATTACAAAGAGAATTTATGATGTTACAAACAAATTATATTTGCCTAGAACCGGAAAATGCTGATGTATTTTTTCAATCGATGATCACTATTACCTTCATTCTCTATACTGTTCATGTTTAGTAGTTCTTTGATTTCAGGCTGCACTTGAATTTTATCGAGTTTCATGTGTAATGTAATTTGGTGACGGTCGGTTAGTGGGTTAATGTCGGGGTCACCCGTTTTCTTTCTAGGTGGCACCACTGTACAAGTACGGCTATTGGGTGCACGACCCCAAAACCAAGGACATCAAGAACCACTGGGAGCACAGAGACGGCGATGTGGTCCATGGTTCATATTCGCTTTTGCAGCCGGACGGACACATGCGTATCGTCGAGTACACGGCTGATAAACACAGCGGGTTCAACGCAAACGTCAAGTACGTGTACGAGGGCGGATCAGACAAGTACGGCTCGTCGGATCAATTCGACTTCGGGTCGAACCATCTGGAAGAGGCGCCGGTGGTGTCGCACACGGCTGGCCTCAAGCAGCCCATGAGCAAATACTACAAGAAGCCTAGGGCCGAGCAACCCGGATTCTACAAGAAGTCGGCACCCGAGCCGTCCGGTCACTACAAGAAACCGGCAAACATAAACGTAGAACATAGGTCGGCAAAACCTTCGACGGGAGCATCGCCGGCTGGATACAAAAACCAGCGGCTGGAGCACTTGCAACACGCGCAGCAGCAGCCACAGCAGTCGGTCGATTATAGACCAAACCCGTTGGAACAATTTGCCAAGTATCAGCAGGCCAACCTGGATGTGCCCCAACAGTTGGCCGGGTTCGGCTACCTAGACCAGGGGGGGTCCGACCACTTGGAATCGGCGCAAGCCCCACCTCCCCGTCGGTACAACGATCAGCCTACTCATCACGAGGCCACGGGTATCCAACACGAGTCGTCCGAACCTAGCCGAGTGCAAGTGAACCGACCCACGCAGCAAACCGGCAACTCCTATCAGTCGTCCGAAGAAAAACCGTCCAAGTTGCTGAGACAGTTGGAGGCGCCGCATGATTTCAGCGATTACTCGCAGGAACAAGAGACGGACGAGAAAGACGATATCAAAATACAAAAACAACCGTTGCGAGAGTACCATTTCGAAGAGCCTTACCCGTTCGAAAATTCTGCCAACGAAGGACTTAAGCATCAAAAAAGGCATTCGGTCGAGTCGTCCAGTGAGAACACCTCCAACCCCGCAGCAAAGAGTTCGCCGGTAAACAGTTCCCCGGCAAATAGTTTCCCAACAAGTAGTTCCCCGGCAAAGAGTTCGGAAGAATCGCCACAGTTATACGATGATTACTTTTATACCTATTACTAATGAGCTTATAATATAAGCGCCTCGATTCGGGCTGACGCCGTTAGTCGCTTTCGAGGTAAACCTGAAGACCAAAGGCAAAAAAAAAAAACGAGAGATTCGTTATTTTCATTATTAAAAAGTTACCGCCAACAATTGTTTTGAACGCATTACACCGCTTTATCAAGACTGTAGTCCACATTCCTATTGTTACCACTATTATTATGTGTACCTATTGTTATTTTTAATTTGTCGACAAATATTTGTACAGTATTATTACGTTGATCTAATTATAATTATTGTTATTCGTCTCTGGAAAACAAACACTCGACTTAGGTTTAAGCAACGCACAATCAATATATTATCATAAAATCTAAATTTTGTATTATCAGAGGAGTTTGTGTGCCTCAAGCAAATTTTTACATAATAAGACTTTCAGCCATCTAGAGTCAAGACAAAAATAAAAAATAATTATTTGTTAATTAATACTAAATTTTGCTTTCAAATAAGATTCTGTTTAATTTTTAAAAAAGACGTTATGTATCTGTAAAAAATTATATTCGTCAAAAATTGTGTAAATAATAATTATTAATGTTTTTAAATATTCCTGGGTTTTTTTTATTTATTACTGTTGAATTGCGATGTATCTTATTGTACGCGATAGGCAAAAAAGAGTAAGATTTAAGTTAGTCGAAGAAGTTATACATTACACGATTTTCAAGAAATATGCGGTTTAAATTTAAATTAGATTTACAGTGAACAATTATGTAGAAATCTATTCTGGTTTTGATTACTGGTATAAAACTCAGCTTAAGTCTAATGGCACAAAAATATTAAAATGAGACTTTACTCTTATATTTTGGTTGACCTCAAAACTTTAAATAATGTATTGGTCTTCTTTTTTTACAAAACAAAATCAAGTATATAACTTTAACAGCCATCTAAAAATTATTGATGGAATATACATTATTAATTTTATTTTATAATAATGTATCTTTTATACATCGTTATCAGTATTATAACGAGAAAACTTTTTTATTATTATTATTATTATTATCTTTATTCAGTATTCCACATTACATAGTATAATTTAATACAAAAATAATACAATACAATTGAATATTGATACGTATGCCAACTGAGCTAAATTGCTCGTATCTGACAAACGGAGTTCTAATAACAAGACGTACATATTATAATAACAATAATAATGAAAGCACAACACAATCATATTGGAAAATAATAATATAATAATATACAATAACTTAATTTCTTACGACCAATATGTTAATTATTATTATTATAATAATAATCTTTAATAATGGAAATAAATTCCAGTTACAATCAAATTAATTAACAGTAGGTATATGAGGGAATAATACATTAGTATAGAAGAATTCCATAAAATATATAATTTATAAAAATCAATGATGTAACTTTTTATAAATATGAAATAACAAACAATACAACAATCATAATTAAAACCAAAATCACAATGAAAAAAAAAAATAAATTCAAATAAAAATTATATTGACTAGATTCAATATTTGACAAATTAAATAGAGTAGTGTTAATCATTTTACATTTTTTAATTAAATTTCCTGCAGACATAAGAATATTTTCAGGAGTGTACAGCATACATTTTGAGTTAATAATCGAAAGATAAAATACTGATTTATTTCTAGAATTATTTGAGTTATCCTAAAGTTTAGGCGCTCGAGAAGTTGAGGACAATTAATAATAATATGTAGTAATTATATTAAATTATATTTACAATTTAAAGAATACAATTTTTTTTGGTTATTATTTAAAAAAAATTATAGGTAATATCGTATTCAGAATATGGAACTCTTTCAACACGGCATTCATATGATAAATATCTTAAAAGGGTTTTTTTGACAGCAAAAAAATGCTAATTCTGTGCGATATTGTCAGTATGCCAAATTAATGAGACTGTGTAGTCAAAATGAAACCGAACTAATGTGAAGTATAGAAGTGATGCCAGCAGGATCTGGTGGTTGATTTAGCATTCAGATTAATAGAGCAAAATTCATTAAAACATTCAATTTAGAAATATATACAGAGTTGAGTAATCAAGTTTGTTAATGTTATAAATGTTTAATATACTTGATTTATATTCGTTAGAAAAGTGGGATTTAATTAAATTAACAATACCAATACCAGAGGTAGCTTCCTTTTTCAAGATAAGACTTAGATGCAGCCAATTATATTTATAATTTTCTGGTAATCATTCAAATATTCATAACTCGTCGGTATGGTAAAGTTCTGGCAACGGGCCAGTTCAATCTATACAATAATCGAACGAGGTGGCTGATTTGGAACCAATAGAATACAACACAAGTTTTATAAAAAGTGTTAGAAGATTTAAATTTGAGAAGAGTTTAATATTAACATCGAATGTCTAACAAATTGTTTGATTACTTAGTTTTACAACTTATGGTACCTAAACTTTTATTGTATACCACTCGTCCATTTTAAATCAATAATTTCAAGTGGATAATTGTATCCAGCGTTCAAATATAAGCGCAATTCAAGTTTGCTTATTATTTTTACACCAATAGAACTTCGTCAATATTTAAATGTTTACCTAGATGTTTTATTGTCAGAAGCAAAAAATATTTTCAACTGTATTTATATAGATAGATAATGACAATGTAACAACCAGCAACACTAATTTACCCGCATATCTGGATTTCACTGTAATAAAACCATTCCTAAAAGAAAGAGAATGTTAAATTCACACACAAGTGTTGTTTAGATAGTAGTATACTTAATATTTGGTAAGATCATCGTCGAAAAAACTTGAACACAGTTTGGAATAATATTTAACAAAACACATATTGTATTATTATATTATACAAAATAATGAAATGGATGCGAAAGAAAATTAAAATAGGTGAAATGGAAAAGTGTTGAGATAGATGAGATAGGATAATACTATATATATATATTAGTATGCAGACTTACCGTTGTTGGTTTAAATTTTAATACTTCAACCAACAACGGTAAGTTTGGATACTGAACGGCTACACTTGTTTTCAAGTACTGAACCAATTATATACATTGTATTGGCATTATTGACGCAATACTTTCTATCTTGATGTAAAAATTGACGTAAAGCCGAAGCCTATTAGAAAAAAAACAATAAAAAACGCTTAAAACCTAAGCAAGAGCTTAAAAAATAGATTTTAGTTTTATTTCAAAGCCGGTCGATAATCATTATTTAAGGTAGTGTGATCAATTAATGTCTTGACTAATTTTTATCAGCCTCTGTTTGGTAAACAAATTCTATTTGGTAAACAAATTCTACTTGGTATTGAACGCTTTATACTACAGAGTCGCCGACGACTAGATTTTGACGCTGTATTGACTCTTAACTGCGGATATCACCGAGTATGCTGAGTAAAGTATAAATACTAATCAAAGGACGCCCTATTCATACTGCTTTTGGAATGTTGCTCTGGAATGTCGATCCTTATAGTATGTAAGCAACGGCAATTATTACGAAATAAGTAGGTAACTGGTACTTGACGAATAAGAAGAAACAAATACAGGAACACCGAAGACAAGCTTTTGTGTTATTTGTTGTTATTTTTATTATTGTACAGCTATTATATTATTATGTACGCCTACCGGACGTGCATAGTTATAGCATCCTATGATGCTGTTGCTCGGTCTAGTTGAGCAGGCCATGTCGTTTTCACTACTGTATTGATTTACTATTCAATCCATCTTTCAAGTACTCAGTGTTCACCAAAATTATTCACCTAATTGAATAGCTAATTTCGAAAAGATTTCATGTCTCTAAAATTAAATTTTACAGGAAACGAAAATAAAAGTTTTTTTTCTAAGTACACGGAATGTATCACTTCCCTCAAATATAATACGTTTTTAGCTAAGTTTATCTCTGTATAGTTAAAAGTGGTTGACACTAAAATAATACACTAAAAGATTAGCTTTAAATTAATTGTGTGGCGTATGTGATATTTTGCCTACTAAAATTGTAACCTAAGAACTATTAACAACTAATATGACTAGGGTATACCATTGGCACAAGTTGAACAAAATGTCCTAATGATATACGTTTATAAACAAAATATTTAAATTATTGCGTTATTCAAAGCATTTCTACTTTGCTTATTATTACTTCGCTTTAAATGCTGAAGTTAAGATACATAAATTAAAGTTCATAACTCATAAGTCATATACTGGACAAATATTTGACTCACATATAGTCAGGGGTGGGCAGTATCAAAAGTGCAAGTACTTAAAATACTTCTTGTAATTGGATTTTTGTTTAACTAAATTTCTTGTATTTTGTATCACAATTTTAAAATACAAAATACATTGTACATTGCCCTTTGTCTCGCACCAAAACCGACACGAGGCAGAGCTTCTGTCGAAAGTCTTTTATATTTGCTAGTTTTACTAGATCTAAATTATCCAATGAAGTATTCGAACAGCTAATGTTCCTAAAAATCAACCAAAATGCTCAAGCTGCTCAAAATGTAGAACAGAAATTAGAATGCAATATTACTTCATGATAATACGAATAAATTGTGATATTTTTATACGTATATATTGGCTAGTGTATATTAATTGTTACGAACTAGTCACGTTAATTGTTTTTCTTGTAAATTTATTGGCTTTTTGGGAAGGGATCTGAACCTTTTTGCCGTGCGCTCAGATTATAGTGTATGGTGTACATCTGTGTGATGGATATTTTGCGTCGTCGCGTCCATTGACTGAACGATATGCTTAGGAATTCAGTTTTGAAAATGCACGCGATTGTCCTTTACGACGGCGTAGGACATGCATCAAAAAAATAATAAAACATATTACATCAAGTAATATTGCATAACCAACGTATATTAAAATATGGTTTTTCATGCTGTTTGTCCGGTGTACCTTATTGGAGTGATCGTTCACATAATAGCTCGTTTGACCATTACCGTAACCAATTCGCGACGTGTGTGATGACCCTAAAAATACATTTTCCGAGCTCATAATAATATTTTTCATTAAACGGTACGCACTAAACGATTTTCCATAGTCCAACGACCGTGTATTAATATTTCCAGGAAGGAGCCGCGATAACATAGTATTACAAAAAATGTTTTAAATTAAAACCATGGTCGCCTAACCGGTGGCGTTTTTACAATATTCTTTTGAAGGGGAGAGGGGTAATATGTAACAAAAAACATTTCCCCTGGCTCCCTTATGTGAACTATATATTTTTTTTCAAAAAAAAAAAAAAATATATATTAATTCAATTTTTATACATTAAACTTATAAGTCGCTTTGATACTTATTTTGAAACTCGAATCACTTTTTTTACAATACAATTAAAATTAAATTTTTATTGTATTAAAATATATTTATTTTTTTGCAGTTAGTTAAAATTTCATCAGAATAGATGAAGATTAACAATGCATGTGTAATTTTTAAAAATGAGTAGCATAATACTGTAGTATTATAGGCACAAATCCCCAAG